AGCATTTTTTAAATTGGAATTTAAATGAAAATAAAGGCTCAGATTTGAGAGTTATATCATTTTCAGGATATACTGGATTCAAATATCCTATTTCTAATTAAAATAAATTATTTTAGTATGGCTAGACAAGATGTTTTAATTTAAAAAATGGATAACTATGCCAGTGATAGGTATAAGAAGTATCGTATAATAGTTACAACAGTTGATTTTATTTTAATAAAATTTTTTTGAGGATATTAAATTTTTCTTAAAAGTAATAACTTTCAAAGTTTTACTTCTGGAATAATGAAAGCATATTTCTGTACATAATAATTCCTAGGCTCTTATTTACAAAATTTTATAAAACTATGGAACAAATTTTCATAAATATGACAGTTATAGCTACATACTCAAAATAGGAATATACTACATTTAACTGTTACTGGACATGTACAAATTCATGTTGGGATCTACTGTATCTAATAAGGAAACAACAAAACTGAGAAAAAGATTATCAAATTTTTGGATTGTAAAATATTTATCAAATTACATGTTTCATAGGAAGGGGGGGGGGAAAGATGAAAATTATGTTGAATGATCTAGAGAATTTTTTAATAAAATATTTAATTTTATAATAAATTTATTAACTTTATGTATAGATACTATTAATGAAATATATTTTTCTTGTAACCACATAATTATAGAATGGAGTAAATGATTATTTAATAATGCAAAAATATTTCCTTGAAAGGTAATATATGTAACTAAAAGGCAATACTGATGTTACATTTATCTTATATCCATCTTAAAATAACATATAAATTGACATTAGATGACTTTTTAAACATGAAAAGAAATGTTTTAATCAAATATCAAATATATTTGAAAGACTTATTTACAAATTTTAAAAAATGCCATGCAGCATATTTTAACACAAACATTCTTTACATTTATTATTCATATAAGTAATATGTTCAAATTATGTTTACAGTGGTTATCATTAAAGGGGGGGGGTAATGTAATTTTACCAACCAACTGGCTTTATTAAACATGCAATAATTATAGCATATAAAAGAGTTGATTAAATTCTTCATTTTATTTTAATAATTCTTATTTTAATTGGAAAAGTTAAATACAGTAAGACCCCGCTTAACGCTGTTTTGTTTAGCGCTCTTTTATTTCAACCCGGGGATTCCACGAAATCGCTCGCAGCATACGGGGATTCCCCAAAATATTATGCAGCGATAGGTTTCAAATACATATCCAAAAGAGTGTACTTGTATTTCTTGTTTGGTGCGGTATTGTACAGACATATTTTGAAGGGGTAAATGTGGAAGATGTCGAAGAAATAATTCAAGAAGCAGCGGCTAGTCTTTCTAATGATGAGCTCAAGGAATTAACTGAACAAGAAGAAAACAAAAATATTGACAGCAGTGATTCAGAAGAAGAGCAAAAAGAACTTTCGATGGCGTTTGTAAAAAGGAGTTTGTCTACCATAACTGAAATAATGGATCAATTCATTGAAAATGATCCGAATTTTGACAGGAGCTCAAAAGTAAGGCGTGGTGTTATAGATGCTCTATCCGTTTATGAAGAACTTTTAAGAGAACAACGCAAAAGAAAAAGGCAAACAACATTAGATGCTTTTGTCACAAAAAGGCAGAACACTGAAAACGCGGAAGGCTAACTAAATATGACTGACTTAGAATTTTATTTGTTTTTTTTAAGAATATTCGTTTTGTTATTTATATTTTGTTTTTATTTTTGCAAGAAATAATAATGTGGTATTAATTTGGGCTTTAAGAAATAAATGTTTGGTTTTATTTTTATTAAAAAAACACACTTTTTAAATTTAATACCTAACCAATTTCCTAGCCATCTTCCCCTAACCCCAATATTTACATGTAAAGATAGCCTCGTTTAGCGCTGTTTCACATTACGCTCTACTTTGATGGAACGTATCTCCCGCGTTAAGCGGGGTCTTACTGTATCACTAAATATTTTAATTGGAGAAAGAATGAGTAGAAAATATACTTTTAAATGAAAATGAAGAACAGCTAGTAAAGATTTTTGCAAGTAGTACTGATAATACTGCAGTGACAATACAGAGTTCAAGAAGAGATTCAGTTAAATGAATATTTATAAACATAATTCATACTTCTTTAAAATATTATTTTTAAATCAATATATCCTTAGTATAGAGAGTAATTATTAATACACATACATTTACAAACTTCAGAATGTTGGTTGTAAGTCTAAAACTAGTAAATGAATAAATAAAAAGTTATTATGTTATAAATTATCAAATAAATGCAGCAGTTTTAACACCAGAAAATTACTTTTCCACCTCTAAATGTCAATTTCTATCACCCATTTTTTTGCATAGAATTAAATAAATAGTAAACAGTCAAATTTCAATAGTATAAAACTGAAAAATGTCAAGTTCATAAGACTTTCAGTAAAATGTACTTGAAAAACATTAAGGCTTATATGTAGATATTTATGTTAATTTATTTATAACAAAGCAAGATGAAGGTTATTGTATGCATATTAATGCTAATTATTATGATAGATAAAGATATTATTATATAATATATAAAGAAATAAAAAATTCTAATAGTACATCTGTGTTAGAAATGGTTCTCATGGCAATTCAGATAATATAAATATAAGAAAGTGATAATGAAGTTAATAAATTTTTTCAATTGAATATGCAGAGCATGTACACATTTCTAAAATGAATTATGAAATTTAGAAATAAATGTTTAAACACTTTGAATAGCAACAGTGCAATTGCTTACAGAGAGGATAAGATAGAAAACTTCAGGAGTGAAAATAACTTTAAAAAGTTCTACAAAAAACATTGGATCATGATATCTATAGTTCACCTTATTGAGACATAAATACAGAAATTAATTTTAGTATCCTTTAAAAGACTAATCATACTACAAAAATTTCACTTATTATGAAAAGTTAATGATGTTTAATGTGTTTGGAGGGGGAACTCAGTTTAACTTATCAAAAATTTCGAATTATTGAAGTGGTCTTATAATTAATATATTCTTGAATTTTTCTGCTAAATGTTTCTGCTAAAAAGGCAAAAAATTTAAGTTCATGGATTTTATGAAAATTTAATATGTGAAACATCCTATGAAATAACAGTTTATCTACTTTTTGAAAAATTTATATTAAGAAGTATTATAGTTACATGCCATTCTTCATTCATCTGGTGTTAAAATTGGAACATAATACATTAGATGGTTAAATATAAACTGAAAGTGAAGACATAATTATTTTATTAATTACAGAGTGAAACTTAATATACCAAATATCTGCAGCATTAAAATACCAAATACAGTACAAAGTCCATAATCTGGACGTCCATTATCCGGACCTCAAAGCCACAAACTTTTTTTTTGTATGCTTTAAGCATGCGCGTAATGCGTTTATGCATGCGCATTTAATGCATGCTTCCGATAGTGAAAAAAGTGATACAGAGGTTATTGAAAACAAAAAAATTTTGATTGACAAGTTAGTCAGTATTCTCGACACAGCAATTACAGGACTTGAACAGTGGAACTTTATAAACTGAACAAGAAATTATGTCTGTTTATAGAATTAAAAAGAAAGTATTAGCACAAAAAACGAAACAACCTACATTGAAAGAAATGTTTAATAAAGTAAACAAATAAATATTAAGGGTTTTTTTTTTTAATTTTTATACCTTTTAGATCATAATTGCTCTTTATTTCATAAATTACGGTTTCATATTTTTAATTGTATAATTTCTGCATGACATCTTACCAGATTTAAATTGATGATCTATAATCCAGAAAAAACCCTACTCCGAAATCGCCGAAGTCCTGACGAGTTTGGATTACGGACTTTGTACTGAATTATAAATCATGTAATATTTCTCTGTACTTTTTTTTAATGTAGTGTTTCATTTTATGAAGATATTTTATCGAAGAATTAACATTTTCTATTTATTTATTTCTACATATAAACAGAAGCTTAATGATATAGAACAGTTAATTAAAGAATTTTCAAAGAAAAATTTCAGAATTTTCAACTATAAATACAGAAATATTTGATTTACAAATATGTTAATTACACTTAAAATGTTAAAAAATAACATATCAAAAATTAATTTTATTCATTACTAGAATACTTTTTTACATAATCAAATGTGCAAGTTCCCAATGGGTTTTTATTTAAATAATCATTTTTACAAACATATTTACTCTCAAGTACTAAATATAATTTTCTCACATTTACAATTAGAACTTACCTATAATAACCATAAAAAACTAAGACTACATCAGTTAATTTATAATTACAGAACAAATACTGAAAGTGCTATATTATATTACTGAACATTTACAAATACAATGCTTTAGTAATGACATAAAGTATACATAGTTATTAGTTTGAATCATGGAAGACAACTACTCTCAAATAAAATACACATTCAAAATTATATAATGGCTACAAATATACAAGTTGTAATTTTGATTACCACACAATTTAGCACCAAATTTGTTAGGAAGAAGTCTAAGAATTATCATTTTTCTGCCCGCTCCATTTCATAAATGTGGAGAAAATCTTACCTTTTATAAGGACTGCATAGTTTGTGCATAGTAAAATATATATTTATGAAATATACAAATTGCATGCTATTTTTTTAATTTAACAAAGACATCAAAAAGATGAATATGCAAAATTTATACATTCTTTCACAGCATTTTTTATTTGGATTTCAAATATTGTATATTGCTCTTACCAAAGTTTTGTACTCAGTGATTAATTCTTTTGAGATGAAATAAGAATTTAAAAAAATTATCTCATTAAACAGGGTAATTGATCAAAAAGTGACATTTCAACAATACATTTCATAGTGATGTGTAACTTTATGAAAATATTCTGTATGAAAAATAGCATGTTTCACCGAGAATTTGGTATCATTTCTCAAAATATTCTAGGATCTTAAATATTTTTTTTTCATTTTATATTACAACAGTTTTTATATTACAACAATTTCCATATTATGCTTCTTTAGAATCTACAAGTATATGAATGTGAATTTATTTTTATACCATCTCTAACAGATAATAACTGATAATAAGATCTATGCAGAAACTCCATTGTAACATTTCAAATTTTTATGATAAATGTCCATAAAATGTTATTAAATCCACATTCATCTGACAATTAATATCCAATTCCCGTCATGACACATCTTACAAGCTAAACACTTTCGGGGCATATCTCACGAGAATAAATATTTTCATGATACACTATAAAGTAGCATTTTCTATTAACATGATAAATTCCTTGTATTATAATAAGGATTCAATTAATAACATCTTTCTTTCAAATATTTTTGCATGGAATGTTTATGCATATATAATATATAAATATTCCAGCTAGACATTCATTTCAGATAAATTTTCTTATGCGGTTGTTAGCATGAAATAATGAAACAAATGGAATGAAAATACCTAATTCATATGCCCTCAGTGATTGATATTTGACACAGTTTTTATATTGCATCAACAAAATAAATTGTCAGATTGTCTGAAGTGAAACATGGATTAAATTTTTAGAACACCTATTTCACAAAATTACAGTGTGAAAAATTTGAAGTAAAATTAATTCTATATAAAAGAAATACTGACTATGTATAAATATGCTAATATTAATAATTTAATGACAAAATCCACTTGCATCTTCATTAGATTCTATATAAAAGAAATACTGACTATGTATAAACATGCTAATATTAATAATTTAATGACAAAATCCACTTGCATCTTCATTAGATCATATGGCATTTTATTTTAAGCATTAATATAAATATTTATTTTATATTAATTATAGATATTTATTATTAATATAAATGTTTATTTTAAGCATTAATATAAATATCTGTGATCCTCTTTTGTTGCAGTTAATACATATAATAAAACTTTGATGAGATACTTGGGTTATTTCCATTAACACAACGTTTTTAAATTAGGTCTATCAGTGAAAGAGCTACAAGCAATTTAGGATCAAGACTTTTCAATGAAGATTTCTAAATTCTTGACAGTAAGCAAAAAGAGAAATCTCGTTCTCACATATATGTTGTAGTAAATGGTAAAAGAATGTGTATAGCTTTTTTTTGCCATGGAATACAAACTTCTTTCTTCCCCCCCCCCAGTTACCCAGAACTTAGAAAATAGATCCTTAAATTCAATCTTCTTATCTTTGATTGATAAATCAAATGCCATATGATCTAATGAAGATGCAATTAAATTTATTTATCTCAATTAACTTAAAGTAGCAATGAAACTCTCTCTCAGGCATGCATAGGTGTTGATCTACAACTTCTAGTAGTTCCTTTCATGATTTGAAATAAATATTTCAAAGAAATCATTTTTCACCAATCTTTCCAAAGCTGAATTTTGTTTAATTTTTTCACAAAAAATGGTATATTTAAATATACAGTATTTAAAAATATTTTATCAAATACTTGATAAAATATTTTAAAATAAACCACTATAAATAACTGAATGGATAGCTAGTTAAAAATTATCAAATTTCATGAAAATTATAGCATTCTGGTTATTGCAACAGGTCATTTGTCATACATATATAAATAAACCTGAATAAAAAAAAATACAGACAAAGTGCATAAAAACTTTAATCACATGGGAAATAATATTTGCATATGCCCCCTCATGTTTTTTTCTGCTATACATGATATTTTGGAAGGTAATAAATATCACTATCTCCACATTGAATGGTACAATAATTTTAAAATGAGCAATCCTATCAAAGGTCGAATGGTCAACACTGCTGAATGCTGGAATTTCGATCCCAGGCAAATAGAATAGCTGTAAGGTTGGCTTCTGTGGTGTGTCTCCCCATGTATAAATATAAACCAGTTTCTCTCAGAAATTCCTCCTCGAAAGCATCCCTCCCCTTAGACAGATAGCCCTCATATGCTTTGTCATATTTAAATAACTTAACCTAACCTTAGAATGAGTATTTTTTTACATATGACCTGTTGTAATAATGATGATGACGATAGTAAGAATCCATAAAATTATGTATTGAAATGTTTGAAACTTATGGTTGCTTGAATGCAATAAATATAATACACAATAGCATGATCATCCTTCAATAATTTGTTAAGATTCAAACTGAATTACAATTTTATAAAATTAACAGAATTCTGTATATAAGATAGCATTAGTGCTAGCTTGATATAGTATAAAATGCAATTATATTAAAATAAAGTAAAAAAAAACATAACAAATTGTGGATTTTTATTACAAATTAGGCAAAACTAAATATTATATTTAAAAAGAAATCTCTAATATATTTCAAAACCCTACTTTAATTTCTGTTAAAATTACTTGAAAAAATCCTTAAAACTATAAACTTATTTTCTTTGAAGCCTTTGAGATTCATCACAATATTAACAACTTTTATCTCTAAACCTAACAAAACGCATTTCAGAACTTATTTTATATGTACATGTTTCCTCCTTTTACCTTTAACTTTCAATTTTGTACAATAAATAGTGTCAAATGAACAATTTTGAGAGCAAAGTAAAAAAACTCAACTCATTACACCTTTACACGTGTAAACCTTGAAAATAAATGCCAAACTACAGTTGCATTTTACTTGATTTTAAAGCTTATCTTAGCAAGCTTCATTTCTATCTATATAGTATTACAAATATTGATGTTGTAACATGACACTGAAAAACTACAGATATATTTCTTTTAATTATAGATGTAGTAATAACATACAGAATTTTATAGATATAAACATTGCCAATATTTAAAAAAGGTAAAATGGATAAAAGAGTTTTAAAAAATGTAATTTTACCATTCATTTTACATGACTCGTACATATACAGTGTTTCAAAATACATAACGTTTTTTCAATTTAAGTTTAATAATGCCATTTTATGTTAAGAATATAAAAAATACCTCGTTATTAATATTTTTAATTATTTTTATATTGCTAAGTAAATTACAGAAATGAACTTCGAATATCCAAACTAAACACGGCCATAGCTCACTAATATATTTAAGAAATCTAGATAATTGAATAATTTTGTTTTCTGTAGGCCAAATACTATGTATTTACTGTAACCGATATGAAAGAAGTCTACTTTTCCTAATCATATTTTATCTGAAGGAAAGCATATAGTGTTTAAAAAAAGAGTAAATAAAGTAATAAATTCAATTTTTATTTATACAGGATTTAAAATTTAGTATGCAATCTTGTGCTTATTTTTAGTACATTAAAGTTAAATAAAAATTTAATTTTAGTTGTAAGGGAGGGGGAAACACATAAGTTACTTCTATTCAATTAAAATTAAACACGGTCATTAACTTCCACTGGCATAAAATAATAAAATTATGCATGTAGCAATGACTGTGAAGTAAATAAAGAATAATATATCTGTGTGAAATACATTAACTGTTTTAGGATTTATAGATTATATATATATTTATCAAATATAAAGCCTATCAATGGCAATAGGCTATGATTTAAAATAATTTAACAGAATTTTAAAACATATTTTATATCACCTAAATCAATGAAAAAAATAAACACACATAATAATTTTAATTTTATTTTGCCTTTAAAAAAAAGAGAAAGTGATCCAGATAATTGAAGTTTTATTGTATCTATAATTAATTTAGGAAAAGTAAAAAGTAAATAATCAGAGAAACCTTCATTTGAAAATATATTTCCTAGTGTTGTGAGATAATAAATAGCAAACTTTTTTCAAAAAAGACAGCTGCATTTTTCCCATTCTGATGAAATAAATTTCAGACATATAAAATTTAATCAAAATTTTCCATTTTCATTAGGAATAAGAAATACAAAAATTAATAGAAAAGAAATAAATTTGATAAGTTTTAAAATGGTGAATAAAAAAAGCTTTAAATACTGTGCGGCATTTATTGGATGGTATATCTTGAGCATGTTTCTATAGGCTATTTTAATGATAACCCTCAGAGAAACATCATATTAATTACACAATCCATTGTTACATATTTTTCTAAGATTCTGAGAATAATCAATTGTTTAAGAAACTGTTTCCTTTATATACTTTTAAAAATTCACGAGTTTTCAAGGGAAAGATGAGAAGCTATATTAGTTTCAATAAATTATATTTTTTGGCATAGTATTACCAATAAGTAGTAATTTGAGACATAAAGAATAATTAGAACATTTTGTATATAAAAGTGTGCATTATATTATTATAATATACAAGAAAATTCCCTGTGTCACTCCTAACATTACAATACAAACACTCAGTTAAGATGTAATTAACCCCTTAACTGCCGCGGGCGTATATATACGCCTTGCTCAGCCGATGCGTTAACTGCCCCAGGCGTATATATACGTCCTTCCAAACTGCTATCATTTGCTTTGCGCTGCTACACCTAAAATTATTCGCAAAGTTAACGCATCGGCTGAGCAAGGCGTATATATACGCCCGCGGCAGTTAAGGGGTTAATAAAATTTATTTTTGATTGTTATGCAAAGATGTAGTATAAAGAAGTATTAATCTTGAAGTATCAAGAAACATTTGCAGGACATAGACATTTAATACAGACAATTCATATAATAGTTAATTTCTATACTGTGAAATTAAAACTATAAATTGGCTTTTAAACTTTTTGAATATCACCTTAAAAATTAAAATTTTTGAATATTTTAGTGCCCTTTATAATCATTCCTTTAATGTATTTTATCACTTTCATTAAGCATTTTATCATAAAATAATTTCACAGACTAATTGTTCCTCTATACATTATACAAATCTACACATATTTTCAACAATATTCTTGCTCATCTATTCAGAATTTATATACCTTTTTGTTACAATATATATTTACATATATACATATGAAAACAATTATATCTTAGTAAATGATTTTCTAGCTTACAGAATAACTCAGATGATTGATGAACAAGAGTAACAGGGAAAAGTTATTTATAAATTCTGCCAGACTAAGTTTGGAACAGGTACCAGTGAATGCCATTATTAAATCAAATTGTATAGATAAATTACAAAGAGAATTATACCTGTATAAGATATAAAATATGCTATTACATAATTGTGCATCTGCCTCCAATGCCAATTATATACAAACATACATCAGTTCTAATTAAGTATCTTCATGTATACACATATAGAGAAAGATAGAATAATTTAAATAAAGCATAACATAACTAACAAAAATCACAGTTGCTAAAAAAAACAAGTAAAACAATTGCATAATACAAAACCAATGATAAAATTCTATAAAGGTATGGGGTGGCATAAAAGCAAATACATTAATTAATATTTAAAAACTTTCACAAACATAAAATTTTATTAACATAAAAAATAAGTTAATTAAATATGCTCCCCAAATTTTTTTATTGATTTCACCAATTGGATTTACAAAAAAAAGGGGGGAAGAAATGAATGTTTGAATTTTATTCATAAATAACAAACATCATATACTGAAAATGTTTTCAAGCAATTACCTACTCACATTCCCATCAGTCTTTATCTCACCAGAATATTTAAAAAAAAAAAAAAAAAAAAAAAAAAAATAGATATGTAGGTTATTAAATTAAAATCAAAATAAAATCAATAATTGAATGTTAAAAAAATTATAATATAGAATTTAGAAAGATGCTAAGGGAATGTGATTAATATTTATAAATAATAAATATTAACAAATTATAAATCAGCTGGGACTTGTAGGATCTTCAAGTGGCAAATCTCTTTTATTGCTGCCACGTTCACTTGTAAGTAATGGTGTGCCAACAATTTGCCTTGGATTAGAATGACTTATACCATATAATTTAGACTCAGGCAGAGTGACCACAATCCGCCACATAACTACTGCCATCACAATTGACCAAGAGTGTGTAAATCCAAAAAATAAAGCCAGTGTGCCATATGAATAATAATAAACTATGGCACAAAGTGTCTGCCATGAGATAAATAACAACATAAAAAAGTGACGGCACATATAAAAGAAAAAACTACACGGCTTAGGTCTTCCATCTATCGTGCTTTTGTAGTGGTGGTACAGACAATGTGAAAGGCACAGAATAAATGGTATATAAAATGAAAGAAGCTGAAAAAAAAAATGAAAACAATTTTAATCAATTTGATGAAATAGAGATTGATGACATTATTTAATTATATACAAAAAAATATTCATATAGTTTCAAGTCATTTTTCCATCCTTAAAACAAAACGATTTTTATCAAATGTGGGAAAGAACTGCAAAACAAACACTACTTTGTTTTTGTGAATAATAATTTCATACTGAACATTAAACTGTATAGCTGGCTTACACAATTATTAATTACTAACATTCCACAAAATTTTCACATACAGATTTTTTAGTTTAACTTATTAAAAACATAATAAACATTTTGTTAATTAGACCCTTTTTTCAGTGAGGATCATACGAAAATCTTAATATTGTATATACAAAACCCAGTGCTGAAGTTGATTTCATAAAATTATCTACTTAATGTTGAGAAACTATGTATGATAAAACAGGAATCTTTTTACATTTAGTCACAAGTGAATCATTCAGTTTATATAATTGTACCACATTAAGTAAGTCACTATGCTCACACAGATTAATTAACTTCCATGTGCAACTGATTTAAAAGAATATTGTTATAGTAAATAAAACACTGACTCATTTTTACATAAATAAAAAGTTTTAAGAAGTGTTAATCCATACAAAATGAAAGTTGAGAGTTCCATACAAAATGAAAAGAACATGAGAAAACAGCTTCAATAGACTTCATTTAAAAAAAAAATCACATTTTTTCATAATCTGCAGTACAATATGTTGACTTTAATCTAGCATTACCAGAATTGCATAAAAAAGGGAATTGACATATTTCTCAAGAATAGTTAAAAATTATCTTTCATCTCCTTCATAGTTAACAAAGATATTTATGATTAAAATAGTTTGAGATAAATAACTTAAAACATTTAAGCAAACAAATGAAGGCATTTGACATAAAATTTAACACAAGTAAGTATGGAAATATCACTGATTGCAATTTTATTGGAACTACAAGCTTCAACAAGCTGCAGTCAGCAATATTTCTTTTTTACTCATTTCTGCTTATTTTAACACTGAATTTCTTCACTTGTTTTTACTCATACTATAGGATAATAAAAAATAAAACTTGTTAAAATTCTCAATTAACAAAAACGAAACTAAAAATTTTTATATTACCTATCTTACACTTAAAAGAAATCTAGGATGCATTTCTGCTACTAAATATTATTAAGTTTTCTGAATATTACTATATACCTTATACGAAAGCTGACCACAAGCTACATTTGCAAATAAATGAAATAACCATGGAAACAAACTACTAAAAATAGTATGTAATTTTTTGTTTGTAAAAGAATATAATTTTAAGTAAAATTTCCTAATTCAACAATATGTATTATGATGATATTAGAATAAATAATTAAAATCACACTAAATATATGAACTATTCTTAATTAATAACAAAACTAACAGCAGTGAAAATAATCATAAGTATCTGTATATCAGTACAAAAATGTAGTACCATTGTGTTTTTGATAAAGAACATTTCTCCATTCAACACCATTTAAGGCATTAATTGAAGCTCTAATATATCTGAAAATATTACCACCACCATAAAAAAAATCAGGATACATAAAATCTGCTAAAAAATATAGTATTTCTGTATTGATTAAATACACTAATCAATAAATTACTGAATACTAATATGACAAATTAATTATATAAATACAAAATTAGACCATCAAAAGTGTATTTACTTTAATTAAAGATACACATGATAAGATAGCTCAAACTGTTTAGGATTTTTCTATAGAACGAAGCAAGCTAAACAAAAAGACTTATTTCATTGCTAACAAAATTAACTACAAGATTAACAATTTTGAACATGTTAACTGTTATGATTCTCTGACCATTCACACTTACATCATCAAAAAACATACTGCATCATATTGGATGATTACTATCTACACAGCTATTTCATTTCTAACAAAATTAACTGCAAGATTCACAATTTTGAACATATTAATTGTTATGATTTTCCAATCATTCAGAATTACAACATCAAAAAACATAGTCCATGATATTGGATGATACTACCTACATAACATAGTATATTACCATATCAGCTATATATAGACATCCAAGTCAAGGTCTTCAGCACCAATACTTGGCTGTGATGAATGATTTTAGTTTTAAATACTGAGCAGCCTGACACATGAAAAATTTCTATTTCCTCCTTGTCTTCCTTTTTCAGTTCTTATTTGATTGGTTTGGTATCCATACTTTATCCATATAAAAAAAATCTGATGTGGTCACAACATGAATTACTTCACTGACCTATTTAATTTCACAAATATTTTTATGCACTTCATTTAAACTTATTGTCAGGTATCTGTCCTCAATCAGCCAATCAGCTGCCTCCTTATCACGGTGAAGAGCCAGCAAGGGACAGCACTAGGGTGGCTGCACTCAAGTTTGAGTTTGATTCTTAGCTAGTCAGTCTTATAATTCTGGTACGGAATTGAGGACACCCGAGTTTAAAGATGTTTAAACTTGTCATTTTAATCATATTTATTAAACTTATGTAAATATTTCTGTACCTAAAGTTGTGTTTATAAAAAATGAAAAATTTAAAGTGTTAAAATTAGATTTATGTGAAATATACATCATTGCTAACCTGACAAGAAAAACAATACATTCTCTCAAAGATAGAGCTCAAAGCAGTCAAAAAGTAAGTGGCTACTTCTCACATTTGTTCGCATTTCTGAATTGGAATAAGAAGCATTAATTCTGATGTCTGAAAAGTTTAAAAAAAGAAAAGAAAATGTTCAAAAATGAGAATAAAAAAGATTTGTTAAGTGTTTTATTGGAAATTGGGGAATAAGTAATTACAGATTTGAAATTGACAAAACTGAATAACAAGGAATACATCACAGATGTTGACTTCGTGAAAGAAATTCTGATTACTACAGTGCAGAACAGAAAAAGAAAGGAAGAAATGGAAAATGAGAATAGAAGAAGAAAAGAAAAAAATGGGAAATGAAAATAGAAGAAAAAAGAAATAAAAAAAAAAAAATACAAATGGAAGAAGAGAGACTGAGAATAGAAAAAGAACATGAAATGAAATTAGCGAAGATTCGAGCAATTCAGAATGGAGGAAGTAGAAGTCCAACACCTTTAATCCAAAACACTGGCCCAGAAAACGAAATTTCCATCAACAAGTTGATCAAAGGAGTAGAAACACTGATTATATCAGTACTGAAGAGAGCGAAAGCATGGAATATATTTTTCAATTCTACTGAAAGAGCATTTAAGCACAAGAATCTCATACAAAATTTCAAAAGACTGATTAAGAGAGAGGTGCAAAACAAGTTCATCATTACAATTAGAGTTATTTATTACTGTTCTTTGAGTGGACTGGTGATTTAGAATGTATTCTTTAATTGGTTGGTTGAAAAAAACTTTTAAATACAGCAATGGTTCCAACGAAATTGAATAGACATTTCACAGTTAATATACTGATATGAAAGATAAAACCGTTGATTATTTTAAAACTCTGTTAAGCCCCGTTCACATGCAACACTCCTTCACACAGCTGCTGTTAGCAAGAGGAGAAAAAGGAGACATGAAAGAGTTTCGTCTTTAGGACCCATTCAAAAGAACACCGTCTTCCTTCCCTTTACACCTAAGCCTCTGTGAACAATCACGTCTCCCAATTGGCAGATTTCTAATACTGTTTACACATTTTTAACGTTGTTTACTGTTGTTAATTTTGTAATCTGTACTTTCGCAACTGGTACCTGAACTTTCGTAATGGTACCTGAAAAAATATATGCTTTTTAATTATTATTATTATTATTTTATAAGCTGTTATTTAGTTCACTCTTGGTGCTTGTCACTATGGTTAAAAGATGGTCATGGACTTTTTAAACTGCTTTCCGATAAGATATAGAACTCAAACTTTGTACATCCATACTGCTTGTGGATGTGGTGTGGTAACACACTTTTGATTTTTAGAGGATTAGATTTTTTTCGATATTTACAAAGTTGAAACGACTTTTTGCAAATATTAACAAATAACACTGAGAATCTCAGAATATTATAGTTTGCACCATAACACACTGTAGAGGAAAAAAAAATAAATGAAAATTTTAGCATAATTTTTTTTAAAAATATTTTGGGAGAATTTTTGAAAATTGTTCATATTTTTAGACTTTTTGGCACCCATTAATTTTAAAATTTCATATCTAAAAATATATTGGTTACAAACTTCCAACATTTTCACAGCTTATAAAACAAACTTTTCGCATTTAAAAAAAAATGATAAAGGAAATTAATTGGATGTTTTTTTTTACTTTTTTGAAAGATATGCAATGAAGCAGAATGGGAAATATTGGTTCTTCTTGGGCATCAATTCGAAACATCGGTTTCAAAGTAATAATCTCATTATACCACACTATTTTTATGACATTATTTATGCTACATAAGTTGTTATTGTTGCCAGTTGTTAGTTCAGCGTGAGATTGGAGATATTTCTGAGTTAACTTTCTCTTAAGATGCGTTTTGCATTCCATTGTGTTTAATGTTCTTATTAGATTGAAGTATAACTACTGATTATACTTAGTGATATTCTAAACACTTGTACGAGTATTTCTATGGAAAATTCCAGAACTTCGAAATGTTTCTGTTGATAAAATAAATTTAATTAAGCTATCATCGGATTTGAGTGCAATGACAATCATTTATGAACTATTATCAATCTATTACAAACCTGTACGCATGCAACAATATTATAATTAATTAATGTATTAAAATTGTTTTGAACGTGTTTTACAAAACAAAAACAGGTAAAGAAAAAATTCTGCTTGTGTTTTATGAGTTTTTGCAATTTTTCCAGCCATATAAGGTTTTAAAAAAAGTTTTGTAATTTATGTTTATATTTACCAATTGAATAAATAGCAGCGAGTTGGAGGAATTGAACAACCACAGGCAGTTTGATGCATATAGATAATTTGAAGGACAGGGTGAAAAGGTTGTTCAAGTGTTGTATGTGTTCTCAGGTTAGATTGCCATGAAATATAGTTCTTATAAGCATGCCACACGTAGAATAGAAGCCAAATATAACAGAAAGTTGAAACTGGATCAACTAAACACTTGAATTCACTTTCTGTTGGATGCCACTCTCTACCCCACTGAATAATCATGCTAATGAAAATTTAGCTTCATATCAACACTACTCTAAAGACTGAACTGGTACAACAAATTAAGGATGAAACTCCAAATATTAAAAGAATAAATACATCTATGGGAAAGAAAAAAAAAAAAAAAAACATGAATTTCCGACTTAAAAAAAAAAAAAATTAAAGAGAAAGATTTTACTGATAATTATTAAAAGAATTAATTAACATTACAAACTATATTGCATTTATATATATGCATATAAACTCACATATGCAGTTCCTGCAAAGAATGTTAATCCACCTGGAAGAAATGTTCCTGCAAGAAAAATACCCCAAACAAAACATACTCCAATATGGCCATCAATAATGTAGCCAAAAAACCACGGGCCTGAAAAATTAAAACATTTATTAAATTTACATTTAATGTATTAAATTAAGTATGTCATTCATCACATAATGTAAAACAGTATTTTTTTAAAAATGAAAAAGCAATAATCAAATAACCCAACTATAATAATTAATTAATTGGATCATTATATTTCTAATCTCGTGCTTCATTAGGATTAAAATTTAATTAAAAGCTAATTAGGTTCAATTTTTTTTAAATGAAGTTATAATGCTTTGACCCCTTTCTAATACTTTACATAAAATAAAAGATCTTTTAAAAAATTAAATGCTCTAAAACATTATATGATCTTACATTAAAAATGATGAAGAGAAAAAAAATGTCTGCGATGTGGATACACTCGGATGATTTTACAAGATCATAGAGAAAAACTTCTTCCCTTCCACAGCGTGAAAAAGCAAACAATTTTTTTTCTATCTGCATGCAGTACCCTTATTCAATCAGGGGGAAGTGCATTCTTTAGTATTAAATTTTTTGCAATACATTTTTTAATTTTATATTTTTTTTACTTGTCAGTAATTCTAAAAAATACATATACATTTATTTGTATTTAGATTATTTCTTTAACTTGTTTTAAGAGTATAGAAACAGCAAGTATAAAAAGAGTTGATAAACAGAAAAAGTTGAATAAAAATAGATTTTTATATTCATAAACTATATATTTAACAGCTAAATAAAAAGCTGACCCCCATTACCACATTCCCCCTGCCCACTATGAAATCCTCCCTCTTTTTAGGGAGAATTCTCTTCTAGCCAAGAATTCCTGTCCTAACCAGTTTCTTTATTGCTTGACTCTTCTCATTAACTTTCTTAAAATTCGTTAATTATGAGAAAATTTACACAAAAGACCCAAAATCACTCAAAAATTAGATTTATAGCACGGATTTCTAACTGAAAAGTAGCAATGTACATACTGATATAGCATTGTCTTCAAAGAGGTGGGTTAACAAGTACAGGGTGCACACTCTTGACTCATCGAACTCGTATTTTGAATAAAAATTTTCACGACCAAGCAGGATGTATAACAAGTTGGACTTATTCCAAACTGGGCATATGTTGAGGTACTACTGTATAACTGAGGTACAGCTGTATTAATATTTATTTACAGATTTATAACCGAGGTACCACTGAAATTATATTAATTTGTAGAAATACCAAGGTACCACTGCATCAATGTTTTAAGCCTGACAATATTTATTGTAAATACAAATATATTACTACATATATTCCAAATATTATATTTAAATTAAAATATTTTAAAAAGTAAAAGGATTTCAGCATTATGTTCATATAATAAAAAGGCCTTTTGGTCCTGAATATTGAATATACAAAGGGCTAAATACTAATACTATTACTAATACTATTTGCGGCAACATCTATTAGGTGACATATATTTACACTATTTAATGCATAGTAAACTTTTGCCAAATGTGAGTGTTTATACTATTAAAAAATTGTACATACAGATGGCAAAATCACATTTTGCAAAGTTAACCTTCTACAGAAAAAATGGATTATAGTTTAGGTTAAGGAAGTATGTATAATTTATACAAATCTAAATATTATTACAATTAAAAGGGAAAAATGAAACAAATATTAATGAAGGATTCCTATTATTCCTTAATAAGTAGGTAAATGATATAATTAACTTTTCAAATAGCTGGTGTTTTTGCTTAGGATAATGTGTGATGCAATTCATTTAAATTCTTTACATTAAAGGCTCTATAACTTTTTCTCTGTCACTGTTTCCACTATCTGCTAGTGTTAAAATATGATCCAGTTATTCATTTGTCATTTCACAAATGTCATTTTCAAATAATTCTTTGACTTCCCTTCTTCAATATCTGAAATTCCTTCACCACCCACTGCTTTTGCAATCTGAACGATTCCCTCTGTTTCATTTTCAATCGATAGTGGTCCTTTAAAATTGTACATGATTTCTGGCAGAAGCTGATGCCAATAAGAATTCAATGTTGATGAATTCACTTATTCCCATGCAAGTTTAATCATTTCTTTGCAGTGTCTTTTGTTCAATTCCTTCCAAAATGCCATTAGTACATCATGTTTTCCTCCATCTAGTGTGTTATTTGCAAAGATGTAAACATGCCTGGCATAATAGGCTTTGAATGCTTTTATGATTCTTTGATCCATTGGTTGGATTGAGGAAGGAGTGTTCAATGGTAAGGGGGGGGAACCTCTACATAAGGATGCATTATTTTAGGGCTGGTGCATGAGAATTAGGAGAACTTTGGTTTTGCTGTTCTAAACAATGGCTGACTCCTTTAATGAATGAATTTGCAATTCCGTCATTACAGTGGCCCACACAATGCAACACACTATGGATAATTTAAATTTTCACACTGGACAAATTAAATTTTAAAAACAATTCAAACAATGAAATTTTAATATAAAATATTTTTAAAAAATATCTTGAAAATCTGAAAGGTTTTAAACTTTAAATTACATCTAAAGGGGCATTTTTTAAAAAATATTTTGTGTGTTACCTTTATTTTATTAAATATCATGTTCTTTGCACTTAAACCATAAAATTCAGTTCAACAGCAATATCTCAAAATAATTTTAAAATGAGCATATCTTTAGAATTTTCGATACAGAATCTCACAAGCTGGAGATAAAAATGTCCCCCCCCCAGATACCATTGTTTTATCACAATGCAAGAAACATACATACATTCACACAGATTCTTCATTATTTAATTTCTTTAAATATAATACAGAGCAATAGTATTTGGTGACAACAATCTGAAAAGTGAAACAACGCTTATCGTGAATCGATGCAAAATGCCAAAACAAAATTAATAGCCCTTCAGGGCAAATTGCCTCTTTGAACTAATAATTAAGATATAATGTGTATATGCAAAACTGTGTTCTGCAAGTGTGTGTTTGGCAAGGGTTTACTGTAACATGTATCTAAAACAATTCATTCCATCTAGAGCAGATCATTTGTATAACTGATAAAATCATCAAAATTTGTCAGTCTCTAATCAAAATTTCATAATTTTTTTAATTAAAAACTACTGATAATTATTAAATCTGATATGGATGAAAAAGAAGAGAAAGGATGGTACCTGATACTTATTAAATTGAAAAGACAAGAAAGCATGAAAAACAAGTGAGAAAATGACAAATACATATCAATATTAAACTAAAAACATCTTCTGGTGAAACAAAGCTGAAATATTCAATTTCCATCTAAAATTTTAGCTATGCATCAAATAGTTTATAAAATGTGAAGAAACTAACTTCAGGAAACTGCATACAATACACCTCTAACCATTTCAGAAAACAGACTTCATCACACAGAAAAAACTCTTATTATTATATTAGTGAAAAAAGTCTAATTCAAATAATCAAACAATAAAAATTCAATTATCTGAAGAGAATATGAATTCTATATTTTCGCAATTTTATAAACTTACAGAAAATGATTTGTCTAAAAAAATTAGAGTTTCATACATGCTTTTAAAAACAGAAACGAAATTTCAAGATATAAAAATTAAAGGGGAAAAAAACTTTTTGACTAGATTTTGAATAATTTTATTGATTTAAAGAAAGGATCACATGTAGATCCCTTTTCTTCAAGAGCAAGAAGAATTTTGCAAAATAAAAGAACTGGTTTTTATACAAAGTAATGGGCAGAGCAAATTTAGCATGAACATAGCACATAGTAACAAAACTAATGAATCCTAAAAGTGTTCAGAAAGGGTTGGATTGGAATAAATGCTAAATGCCATTAACTAAGTACCTTTGTAAATGTAACAAGTTTAAAGAAACCCAATTCATAAAAAAAAAAAAAAAAAAAAAAATACAATTACAATAAAGATCTCATATCCATCTATGATTAGCTATTGAATATTTGTTTATTTTCCCCTTTTCAACACAAAATTTGTGTTGCTTGATGTGAAATTCTAACACTTTTATATTTTAATGACTGAAGAGATTGTTTCCAGAATTTAAATTTAAAAAAATCAAAATCATTATTACGATGCTTAGATTTATTATATCAAAGCAACATAATATTTTGAATATTTTCAGAAATTATAAATAAAATTAACTCAAACAAAACAAAAAGTACCACATGGCCACAAAAAAACAAAGTTGATATTTTCAATAACAGAAAAGTACTTTAAAAATTTTATTACAAACTAAGGGTATGATGTATGGATGATGCCAACCAATAAAATGTATAGAGGGCACTAACTCTCAGTCTGAGAGGTGTGAAAAGTTTAGTTTCCAAGAGGGAGACCTACAGAGAGGTCATAGACAAGAGGAAGGCTAGTGGGAGCCATTAATGAAAACGAAATTAACTTGCATTACTTAATGTATATATTTCAATTATTAATATTGTAGTTTTAGTATTTTAGAAGCTCAAAAAGTTGAAAATGAAATAAAAGGTAGGAATACACAGTTAGCCTTAGAAGATCAAAAGGTTGAACTTGAAAAACGAAAATTAGCACAGATAAAGAAAGAATTAGAGTTGGAAAAAGTCACAGCACAGTTAAAGATGGATCTCACGCAGATAAAGACATGACTACAGGTTCGGGAAATTATTTGGAAAATTTGATAAAGAGTGTTAAAACATTAACTATTCCTGTTCCGGGAAGATTGGAAAATTTCAGTTTGTTTTTTCAAACATTAGAGAGAGCATTCATAACTAATAATGTACCACAGGAGCTCAAATCTGAAATTTTGATTAACATTTTAGGTGATAAGGCAACTAATATATTATTTTACATTAATGATGAAGAACTAAAATGTTATGAAACCATTAAAAAACTAGCATTAAGAGAATACAATCCAACTGCTTATGAATGTTTAATGAATTTCCAAAGAGCATGAAGCGATCCCAAAGAGTCACATGTTCAGTTCGCATCTACACTGCCAGCAAATTTTCAGTATTAATGTCAATTATGCGAGGTTAAAGACTTTGATACATCGTGTCAATCAATGATTTCTGACAAA